TAATGGATTTCAGGGTTATAATGGGAATTTGTTTGGTTTTAATGTAAACTATAATGGTGTCTATTTGATGGATTCTATTGGTGGGATGTAATCTGGCAGATGGCAACCAATAGAACAACAGTAATTCCTATTGGAATAATGCCCAAAACAAAAAAGAATTTTGTAATGGTTTAATGGAAACTATAAAGATTTCTGTGATAGATTCTATTGTTTTTTTCAGCAGGGTAATGATACCCATACTGTGCTGCACATTATTGACAATATTGAGCTGAAGCTTGACTTTGCAAATTTAAAATCTCAAATCAAATCGCAATCTCTGTTAATAAGCTTTAATAAGAAAATTTGATATTTTCCCCCAAATCGCACAGCCCTAGTTTTTAGTGTGGAAAACCCAATCTGAAAGAAATTACACAAATACAGGGCACTACAGTGTGACCATTTCAATCGCATTTGCGACTGAAAACTACTGCGTGCGACTATGAAAACATATTTAGGAGCACAACTGACCTGATCAGCATATTTGTGTTTGCGCTGAGGGAGCTTCAAAGGTTTCTAATGTACTTATAGGGATGTAACGATTACTGGTTTGACTATAAATCATGATAAAATTCCCCACGGTTAGTATCACAGTTTCATCTTTTAATTATCATTAAAACCGTATTAGATTACCGTGATTTGAACAACTGGCGATAAATAAATACTGTCCAGCATAAAGCACAGTTTTCAGTAACAGTCTCACGTGCGCACAGCATGCAGAGGAGTTTCGTTTTGAGTGAAAACAGGGCGTAAAAGCTGAGAGGTTTTAAAAGAGTGCTAAGGGAATTATACAAACGAATATATGAATGAATTAATTATATGAATGTACCTCTGAAGGTTCTGACTGTCTTCAGAAACGATTCAATGGCAATTTGTTTTCAAATTGAAAATATCAGACATACAGTGAGTAGTAGTTCTTTACAGGTTTTTTTATTCGATTGCGCTGCTTTTCCATAGTTTTTTCTGTGTAAACATGGATGTGTTTGACTGCAGCGTCTCATGCATGAAACGGCTTTCTAAAAACACTGCGCTCAAGTTAAAAGAAGTTCACTCCCATCTTCTTGCATGTTTGACCTGTTCCACTGTCAACACCAAAGCGCATTCTGTGTGAATGACGCCTAGCGCTAAATTAATGGTCCTTCAAAGAGCGCGTCACACGTGAGCGGATAATCACATGCGCCGACACGCGGTTGGATCATTCATTTCTCTTTACTGTTATCACCGGCATATTGTCAAAGTGTCTAATTCTAACATTTGGTAATATTTCGCGATTCCTCGATTTCTAAAAAATAAAATCGTGGCAAAACAATAAATTCTAATTAATCTATAAAATCAGGAAAATCGCCCAGCCCTACCTCTCATTATAACAAACAAAGTGTAGACAGTGTAAATAAGAGATTCACGGTGCAGTGTCAGGAGCTTCGTTGATTATAGTGGAGTTTTGTTGAGATCACGATGAACTAAGATGAGTGACAACTTTTAATGATTATTGAGACTATAATGAGTTTGCAAATGTGTTATTGATTTAATACAACAGTTCATTAAACAAGAAGTTAATATTAAGTGACTTATAATGTGTGACTGCAACACTATTGCCTTATTTTGCTCTATTTCATCAACGAAAAGAGTTTCAAAGTCACAGCTGAGCCGCTGCGCATCTCCATTCAAACACAGCGGTGTTTCGTTTATGAACGAACTGCGTTTTTAACCAAATCTAGTGAGTCAATGATTCAGTTACCCATTCATAAAGACAGTCACGTACTTCGTTCCTGAATGAATCAGTCGTTCGAACAAATCAATTAAATGAATGATTCAGTGATAAAATCAGTGACTTTCGCCACCTGCTGGCAGTTTTAGTTTAATTTTTAAAGTATCTTTTCTACTATTTAAATCATTTAATATTTCTATTGAAAATGTTATATTTAAAACATTAACCTCAACATGAATTTATTAACTTAATTGCACTCCTGCCGCATCGGAGCCTCATTAAACGTCTGAAAATACACATACAAGCCACTTTTGTGTCACCTCTACTTGTTTTTATTCTGTTGTTTTAATAAAAAAATGTTAAAAAGCTTATAAAATTTTTTTTTTTTTGACATAAAAGATGACATACTTTTAATAAAGTTAGAAAAATGCCATTTACAAAGGTAAAAACTAAATTCCCTATAAATCACTTTAAGGAGTCAAATATCACCTCGTTATAGGAAGGTTCATTTTTGATTATTGATTAGAAGGTGCTCCTAAATTTTTGACCGCGCTCCTTAATTTTTTACATTTTAATATAAAGAAAAGTAAGCGTAGACCCCTGAAATAACTAATTAAACAGTCTGGTCTACATGTATTGGTTTATTATTATAAATAATGAAAGAATACCAGCTACAGAGCACCACTAACTTCACATTAACTTTATGCTGGACGCCTGAATTCAGTGTATGACGAATTATAGTTGAATCCGTGTACTATATTCCAGTTTCCAGTGAACAATCATGCGTAGGCCAACCGTGAGTCAACGAAAGCGCAGTAAGCGTGAGCGTCTGAGACTGCAAACTCATCCTGTACATACGTACCGAGCTTCTCCACGAGTTTGAGCATCACACCGCCGATGTGGATTTCCCCGGTGACTCTGAGAGACACGTCCCGGTTGAGGTCAGTGACATGCATCTTCAGCTCCCAGGTCCCGTCTGCGTAGCAGCCATCCGGCATCCGTATACCGTCCAACGCCATCCTATAGAAACAGTGTTAAAACCATTATGACCCGTCAACTACAGGCTAAAGCAAAGCTCTTCAGACTGAAACACAGATCTCAAAAGCTAATCAGCGTCCCACCTAGGCAACATTTTGGACATTACAGGGCGCACTTATGATGCTCTCCAGGTAGGCGGCACACTACTTTTGAGCTACCAGCAATGTACACAATGCAAACAGAATAGTTTATTAGTAGTCTATACGTTTTCTATTCTATTTTTTTTTACTTGTTATAGCACTCTTTTGTTACTTTTGATTGCTTCTATTGTCCTCATTTGTAAGTCGCTTTGGATAAAAGCATCTGCTAAACGTCTAAATGTTTAGCAATGAAAAAATTAGCAAATTTATAAATAAACCTCTTTAGCGCTGAAAAATGGATAATAGTATTAGAATAATTAAATATCAGACATCATGCATTAGATGTGAATAGTTTATTTACAAAAACAGATGACTCATTTTCACTCAATTTTCACAAATCATGTTTTTTTTATTATGATGTTGTGTTTTTATGACTTTTGAACATTGTTAATAACGGAGTTGTGTGTTTTAGCAAACCAACGGAACAAGTTAACGTTACACTGAAACGTTCGTCACGCCATTTAAACTGAATAGAATTTATATTATTTCTAGAAGCCTAACGTTGTTGAATCACACCAGCCGACTAATTTAATAAATCACAATCAA